TTGACTCCCTCTTCTTTGTGGCAACCTCTGAGATATTTGAACACTGCTATCATGTCTCCCCTGGTCCTTCTTTTCGTTAAACTAGACATACCCAGTTCCTGCAACCGTTCTTCATATGTTTTAGTCCCCTAATCCTCTTTGTTGCTCTTCTAATTTCTATTCTAGATTCTCTTAGCTTCTTGTTTACCTGCCTTAGCTACAACTGGTTGCTTAGCTACAGGCTAAACCAGCGTTTTTATCTAGTTTTCACCAAAACCATGCCATAGTAAACCATGGCTTTCCTCAACCACCACAGAAATGTCATAAAAGCAAGTCAGTCATAGGACGGATCCGTTTTATAGCTGCTTTGACCCTAGTGGGCAGGCTCAGTTACAGGTCGTAACTCAAGAACTACGGGTAATCCTTGACTTAGGACAATTGGAAGACAATTTTTTTTGTTGGCAAGTGAAACATTCGTTAAGGGAACTTCGCCCCATTTTACCACCTTTCGTGCCGCCGTTGTTAAGTGAATCGTGGTTGTTCAGTTAGTAACCTGGTTGTCAAAAGAAAATCCGGCTTCCCCATCAACTTTGCTCGTCAGGATACTGCAAGTCATAAATATGAGCCAGTTGCCAAAAATGACGGGATCTTGATCACACAACTATGGGGGATAATGCAACCGTCGTGTGAAAAATGGCCACGTTGCTTCTTTGGGTGCCATTGCAATTTTGAACGGTCGCTAAATGGACTGTTGTGAAGTCGAGGAGTACCTGTAGTTGGAATCTGAAAGGACAGAGGCATTATAAGGGACTTGCAATCTTGAAAGCTGTTTTTCTGTTATTCTCTGGTCGAGACGAATATATCTGAAGAGGTCCTTGGACTTTTAGGAGGTTCTCGATCATCCAGGTCTCAGTTGTCCTTTCTTCACATTCCCACCCCGTTCAAGGGTCTTCATCCCAAAGGGCCTGGTTGAATGTCCATGGAGAAGTTTTCTAGGTCAGTGTTTCTCAACCTTGGCGACTTTAAGTCCTGTGGACTTCAACTCCCAGAATCCCCCAGCCAGCAGAGCTGGCTGGGGGATTCTGGGAGTTG